AAATCTTCACCCTTCTCTTTGCATGCAAACTTCAATCATACACAAAGGAATTAGACATGAAAAATTGTTATTTTTCACTAATACAAAGGGAAAGGTCCAAATCATGATCAAAAGTAAAAAAGCTTCATCATGTCGAGGAAAAACAACCTTTAACTTCTTTTTTTTCTTTTTTTTTTTTTTCCTGCAGCTACGCAAAAGTTGATATATTATAGGTCGAAAGGTTTAATATGTTTTCCATTGTTTCCTCATACAATTATTTAGCAAATAAAAAATAATTTTTAAAAGCAAGTTGAAAAGTTAAATAGAATTTTTCATATTTTATTATAGAGAATTTTATATTAGTAAATCATAAAAAAGTCACTTTTATTAGATAAAAAAGTTGCATAACATTTGGCATTATTTTAAAAATATTTGTTTACATAAAAATTGTCTAAAAGTTCAGAATTATTTTCTTACTAAATTAAACTAAACATATAATGACACTTCATTGTATATATTTTGATGGATGATAGATGAACAAGCTTTGCACCGAAAAATGAAAAAAGTTAAGTGAATCATTGTAATACACGTCATTATGAAGATCAAAGATAGCTTAATATTCGTATACCAGGTACTGACCTTCTATACCCCACATTTGAGACACTGCAGTCGCAGAAATAAAATGAAAGCATCGAAATAGCAAAGAGAAAAGGGGAAATAGGATTCACAAATAAGTTCATTTGTTTGTTTTAAGAGAATTGTCGTATGAGAAATAGAAAAAGGCGTGAATCCAATTGGCTTTATTTATATTCGCAATTTTGCAGACAAATAGACGAGAATAATTTGTACAAGTGAGTAACTTTATTCTGACTCTGTTGTCTTTTTTCAATGGCTGATCTAGATGAATATTTGTTTAATATTACTAGGTAAGTGTATTAATATTTTTTATGGATGAATATTAAGTTTGCAGTTTTATAAATTAAAGAAATAGAATTCTATTAGATTTTTATAGGTTTTATAAATAAAAAAATTTAATCTAAGAAACGGTGGTTAGAGAGATGACTTTTGGTGGAAGAATTATTTTTGAGGTATATATATAAGTGAGTACGTGAATAATATTTTGATAATAAATTTTCTAGAAAAATGTTACAAGATAAGTAATTTATAGTAATTAATAAATATTAATGATATTCTAAATTTTAGTATTGATCTACACTCACCTCAAAAAAAAAAAAAAAAGTATTGATCTACGCTTTGTTTTATTTGAATTTGTGTGTTATTTATTAAAATGTCATTTGTTGTATTTGAATGTGCCCTAATTTGCATTCAAATGTCTATATTTCTTTTATTTGAATGTAGGTTTGGTTATATTCAATTATAACAATTTTTATTCTATTATTAAAAAAATTAATCTATTAGATATTATGTAGTTATTTTTGAAAGGATAAAATGGTAACTTTCTTAAATTATAATTTTTTTTCTTTGTATTCATTCAAACCAAATCACTTTATAATATTATTTCTCTTTTATTTCGTACCTATTTTTCTTGAATCAAACAAACTCATTTTTATCTTGTTTCTTTTCTAAAAAACAAACACAGTGAGAATGTAACAAGGTAAACACTTTATAAATATATTTTTTCACAACCACTTTATAAATATTTTAAAATATATCGTAACATTGTAATTAAAATTGTAACAACTCATTATGATCATTATACTTAGTGGAATCACGAACTCAACAATGGAACAATTAAAATTACTTAGGATTATGCTTACAATACTTGGATGTGTACATTATGGCATGTATATATACGTGTAAATTGAAACAACCATATAAGTATATAATAATATATGTACAGTAATCTGATAAATACAAAATATAAAACTTTAAGTTGGTGAAGTAACGTATATACAATAGTTACATGAAAGTAACAACAAAAATAACCAATTACACGGCCATCTATCAAATGACCTCTTATTGTACATCTCCTCAAACCTATCCTTACTCTACTCTCATACCAAATATAATTATTGCAGTCCAACTATATGAAAATATGCAAGGATAAACTATATTCTAAAAGAATAAAATAATACATTATACTATAAACACCGACATATAAACAACCAATATACACCTTATGGTTTACATCATACAACTTCAACATAACCATATATGCATCCCAACCATGTCAACCCATCATAAAATCAACAAGCATATGAACAATATCAATCACACTACATCATATGTATACTCCTCAACTAATGTATCGTTACACATTTACATACGGAGATCTCCTATAACACCTAAGTAGTTTAAGTGGTTTGATCCTACTAAATCAACTCAATTGTTTTCACACATTACACGCTCGCTAGATCGACAATTAAATTTGAATATCAATCCCTATTATCTGATTTCTTGAATGTCGTTACTTAAACTAAGAAAGTCTAACACCACCATAAAGTATAATATAGTTTAGGTGTGAGCCTACTGCGACCTTGACATATATTAACCAAGTCACTTGTGAAATTAACCCGCTAACTATCATCACAATAGGACGAACCTTTCCAATAATCAATTAAGGGTGATAACCCTTAACTTCATACCTTACTTCAACATTGACTAAGGAGTTAGAAGAGACTCAATAATCTACTCTAAGAGTTATCACCTACTCCAGGAGGATTTTTAACAACTAGGCTCTTAGAGTGTCTCACCAATATCACTTAGTGGGATATTCAACATTAAAAAATATCATTTCCTTTAGTTTCAAGTCAATCAACATGTTTTAATGCCTATAACATTTTTAGCATCAATACCTTAATAGGTCAACACACCATGCCTAAATACCAAAAGCACTCTCAACAACATTCATTTGTATTAATTACTCTAGGAAAATGGATATATATTGATCTAACAACATTCATAAATTAATAGCATATCAATGCATTTCAACTAATAAGTCATACAAACATCTACACATATCATCCTAGATCAACATACATAAGACAACATTAACAATTCATGTGCAACATGCAATAGACATGCCTAATATAGTCATGTTCACCATTTAATTACAAAAACAACAAGTATTTCCAAGGCAACTCGCGCTTGATGCTACACATCCTACTCCTTGCTCACACTCGATGTCACTCAACCAGAGTCCAACGTGATTGAGGTAGGAAACCCTTAGGACCCCACATCTAGCGTGCCAAAATCCCATGCCCAACTTCACACCAACTAGAAACAATTCTCTCTCCTCACACCCGACGTCACTTCTTTCGCACCCAACACCAATCTAGGCAAAGTCAATTCTCTGACCTCACGCCTAATGTCATTCAACTCATACTCGATGTTAATTCAATATATCCAGACAATTTTCTCTCCTCATGCCTAACGCCATCAATCATGTGTCTAACGTGAGTAAAATAGAGTGCTTCTGATTGAATCGTGCTCAGTGCCATGAAGGCATGCCCAACGTGATGATGCTTTCTACACAGCAAACTCACAAATTTGTTTCCTAGCACTTGAAAATCAAAAGAACCAAGCATGCAATGTAATATATCACATATATTCATCATTAACAACTCATTTTCAACAACAAAGTCAACATGCAACCAAGATTGATCAACAATCACTCGCATCTCCCTAACATGCTCAAGTGACCCAAAAACTCCACCATGGAAGCATTTGATCTTCGAACCACCAACATAGCCAACAACTTTGATACATTTTAATACATTCAACAACTAACTCAATCAATGTTCAAGTTCTAACTTTCCTTACCTACATAACTCTGGTTCACAACCTCAAATGCTTCGAATCACAACCAACTACTAGGATAATAGTTCTAAAACTCTTAGAAAGCTAGAAGAAGAAGAATGAGAGTTCAACAAATTAGAGTTTCTCTTTGAGCTTATCTCTATAAGTTGTCTAATAATAAATTTATGAGGTTAAATTTTCAAAAAAAACTTAAAATACTCATCTTCTCTAAAATACTCTCTAAAACATCTAAAAACTTTCTAGGAACTCCTTAACTCTCAAAGTCTCTTAGCACCTCACCTTAAGAAAACTCAATAAATAATTATTGTTAAAAGACAATAAAATAAATAAAAAATAACAATGTTACACAAACTTTAACAAAGATACATAGAATAAGTCATATATTCAAACCATTATTTGTTATAAAATTTAAATTATATACAATAAATATTAGTTTGTATATGCATAGGTTAAAGTAAATATTTGTATTCATATTTTATTTTAAAATTATAAAATATGAATTATTAAGTTAAAATTAATATTATTTATTTATATAATTTATTTTAATTATAATTTTATATAATAAATATTTAAATACATTGCAAGAATAATATACGAGTTTTATTTTAAAGAGACTACATAGTGAAGGTTTAAAATAAAGGCCTGTCAAATATGAACCACTCTTTTTTTTTTTTTTTTTGGACATAATTGAACCACTGTTTTATTCCACTTGACTAATTCCTTGTAATTATAAAGAATGCGTTTTTATTTAATATATAAATCTCAAAATTATATATATTATGCAAGAGATTTTTAAAATAAATAATATTTGTTTATAATTTAAGGCAATACCAATTAAAAATTCTCATTACAATTAATTTATATTTTATATATTAAAAATATTTATCATAAAAGTAAATATTTAATTTTTTAATGAGAATAAAATACATTATAATTTATAATTAAAAGATCGATCGAGAAGTGCAACAAAATTAAATAAATATATAATAAAAATTAAAATTAATTATAATATTTATTATTAATTTTTAATTAATAATAATTATTATAGCTTACCTTTTAAAGTAAAATCTCGTAAATTTTTAAAAAAATTAATTACATAAAAATGAATGTTTAGTGTACAGTGTAGAAGTTAATAGCTAATTAAATTTAAAAACAATGATGATAATATGAGCGAAAATACAATTTAAAAAGGTAGACAAGTTTGCGAGAGGGAAGGCGCAGTGGTTAGAATTTAGAAACAGCCATAATAAGAAATGAAGAACGAATTATAGTAATAGTATAACTGTGAGTCTGTGACACAGAGACAGAGCACAGTGGTGTTTTTGTGAAATATAAAGAAATTAGAAGTCACTCTCTCTCTCTCTCTCTCTCTCTCTCGCTCGGAAACCCAACGCAGTAACACAACAACACTCTTACAACTTCTGACACTTTCTTACTTGACACTTGACACACACAGAGACTCTCTTTCCTCTGCTCCACTGAGGCCACAAAAAATGGCAGCATAGAGAAGGTTCAGCAACAAAAATGGTGGTGGAAGAGCACGCCAATGCCAATGCCAATGCCTGGCCACCCATTGGGGCCCCACTCAACGTCCACAGAGTCAGAGACGACCATTGGACCAACTTCGACACCTCCGTCAACGCCGTCTCCTTCGGCTTCGTCGCCACCGCCATTCTCATCTCCATGTTCCTCGTCATGGCCATTTTCGAACGCTTCCTCCGCCCCACCTCGCCTCCCCTCCAGCCCTCCGCTCGCCGGAGCCCCCGCGACGTCGAGGCCCAGATCGCCTTCTCCGCCAAACTCGCTCACCCTTCACCCAAAGTAAGCAAACTTCTCTCCTTTCCATGCTAAAGTTTCCACCTTTTTGTTCTATAAGTTGTTTTCTCTTTGGTGTGCCGTGTTTAGTTTTTTTTTTTTTTTTTTTTTCACTTTTTATTTTAATTTCGGATTTCCCCCCTCACCTAGTTACTCTAAGAATGCTGGATCTTGTGTTTTTCTAATAAATTTCTCTTAGATGTTTAATTTAGTTTATTTATTTATTCTAACGTCTCAATCTTTTATAGAATTTGGGTCAAGACAAACTTAAACCTTAAAAGTTATTTTGGTTATATCATTAGTAAATGAGGTGTGATCTCCATCAATATTGGTCTTTCATAAGAGGTGTTCCATGTGGCTCTTCTCTTCTTTGATTCATTGATTGTTTAATATTTATGCATTTTCTTTGGTGAAGATTGTACTAATAGTTTGTTGGGGTGGTTAGTACTTAATCCCCAACTTCCCTTTTGTGAAATCTGAATTTAGCACTGAAAACCCCCCCTTTTTTTTTCTTTAATGGAAAGTAAGTGAAGTTAATGGCTTTAAGCAAACCCCACCAGGTTTTTTTTGGGTTTGATTTCATTGTGCATTTGCACGTTCTGTCAATTATCTCGGTTATGATTTACGAGTGAACACTGTATTGTCTTGTAAGTTTTATGAGGAGATGGTCCTCCATGGGAGCTTTCTACTCAACACTTGGTCCCTTGCCACGAGTCTTTGTGATTAAAGTTGAGACCCACATTGTCCTTGTTGTTCATCCGCTCCAAGACCTCCAATGTTTTTGATGAAACCGTGTGTGGCCAGTGTTTGTGGTCTCAGACAGTTGGTCAACGTTTAAATGCTAGCCTTGTATGCTAATGGAGAAATAAATAAAGTAACCACATTATGTGTTGTATCTTATTCTACATAGATATCTTCTTGGCTTATACTACCATTTTTTAATATTTTTTTTAGTTTTTAATGTAGTGTAGCATCCTATGATGAACCAGTACCATGTAACAATCGTGTTGTCTGCCTTGTGCCATTCCTTCGGTGGAACACGCCGGGCCCACCTACTTATCCAATCTCAGTTCGATAGTAGGGCACAACTTGATTAGGACACTGTCTACAATGGATTTGTTTCTTTCACCTTTATCAAAACTATTATTGATTCTCTAGTATTGGCCAATGAGGTTTTGGAGAGAAAAGTTCCCTAATCAACTAATTCTAAATTTTGTTTTCAAAGAAACTAATCCACAATTTAATAGCTTACTTTTTGGCATTTACGTCAAATTAGGGGATCTTAGTAATGTGTTAATGGAATATAGATCACAGAATATGGACTTTGGAGAAAATGCTCCACGCACTTTGGCTTCTGACAGGGATTCTTTTTATTGTTTATGGTAATGATAGTAATCAGAGAACATGTTGGAATTTTCTTTTTCGCTGTCAGATTGAAATTTCTGTAACAAATGCTCAGAAGGAATTGGATTAGAGATGAATCATACAGAAAGGTAGAAATATAGCATGTGATTCTTGTATTGTTAATCTAGTATGTACCAGGTGATCTGAACCACTCAAATGCGTGGTTAATAAATCAAAAGTAATAAGTAATTTTTAAAATAAACTTATTGTGATATTTAATATAAAAATATTTTTATTTGTTTATTCTTTAACTGATGTCCATCGTGTGTTTATTACTAGCAAGGTCCTTTAATTATAACTAACTATTGAAAGGTATCAACATGTTCTATATGTGCAGAATTGACTTTTTAAATCCGAAGGCTATTACTATGCTTTGATTCTGTGGATCCATATGTCTCGTCTGTATGTTTATATCATTGTCTTGCGTATGATAATATTATTGTCAAACATATTATATAAATGTTTTTGTTTTTATCACTTTATTTTATTTCATCTTATACAGAAAGTTTGGGCCACTAGGAGTCTAGGAAAAGATTCTGTGTACCTAGTGAATCTTATACAGCAAACTCTAGTCACTTTGATGACTGATGGGATGTATTTCACTGGGTGGATCTTGGTTTATAAGTTTAGCATCGGATGCAAACAACTTCACAGTAGAATTCTGTTCAACCGTAGTCAAATTGGGTGGCTCTACTGTGTTTTATCTACACTTATTTTAACCACTTTTTTGTAGAAAAACTTGTGAATGACACTGACCAATTCACTTTCCCTGTGTGCTTGCATCTTAGATCAATACCTGCCTGTTTATGTCTGACATTGTGTGGAATGTTATTTGTAACTGGTAGCATTCTTTTCTTTCCATCGTAAAGCTGTCATAATCAAATAACCTGATCGAATCTTCAGCTAAAAAGGGTGATAATGGCAAGTATTAATCAATTGCTTTCTCCTTTCTGATATGTTACTGTCTTCCGGTTTTCTGGACTAGGTCCTCTTGGTGAATTTGCTTTTTGTGTTGAAAAGTCAAACTAGAAAATAGTAATGCAGCTGTTGCATTACTATATTTACATAAATGTGTATGAACACTAGCTACATGATTGCATGCTCTGAATAACTTAGCCCTGAAAGATTTCATGTGCTCGTAGATAAGACATTTTAGTCTTTTACGTATAAGTTTGCCTTATGACGCTTAAAGTAATAGTTTCAGTTTAATTTTTTTGCACAGGCTGATGCAAGTTTCTATACCATCAGATAATAAAAAATTATGACATGTATGAATTTTAAAGTAGTTATTATAAAAGTTAATAAACTTGTCATATATATCTATTTGGATGAGTGTAAAATCTTCTAACACTACTGGTGCATACACTATTTACTCAGTCTTAAAGGGGTGTTTGGAAGAGTTTATACATAATTTATTTGAACTTACAAAAATAACTTGTGACTCAGAAGTTCTGCCTAGCTTATTTTATTAAGTTTCTTGGTATAGTCTATTGTTAATGCCCTTAATTAAGCTATCTACTCAACCACATCCTTAGACATAGGGCAAACAAAGAATCATTTGTTACTTTCCTTGAAGTTTACACTGCACAACGGTTTGTCAAACCCGTTTAAGTTTTGATTTCTGGTCCACTTTTGGTGTAACAGTAATACAACTCTTTCAATCATCTTACATGCACTGAATCCCATAATTTGATTAATCTATTGCAGGAGATAACTTCATTTTTGTTTTAATTATATATGAATATCAATCATGATTTTGTAATTTTTGCAGATGAGTGTATATGCCAGTGGGGTTTCAGTTCTGATGCCTGGAGATGAGATTCCAACATTTATTGCCCATCCTGCTCCATGTTGCCCAGAACGTATTCCTTGGCCTTCTCATCAGCATAACACATTACCTTGTTCCTCTTCCAACACCCTCCCCACTACTATCAATTAAGTCTGAGAGATCTGAATATAGTCAAGTTCTGCATACTGCATGAAGGGGTTGATTAATTTTCTGTGAAGAGTAGACTATTTCTTGGGGTTTGCCTTCCATCCATTTTTACCTCTGGAGCTCTCTTTACAGTTTATGACATGTAAAATAGGATTTAGTTTTAGGCAAACGGGTTTGGCAATTAGATATCCATCTATAAAGTAAAAGATCAATTTCTGTTCATATGTGCCTTCCCAATTCTTGTCCACGAATGATGAAAGCTTTCAGGGGGTTTTCCTGTGTAAATCAATTATCAATAGATTGAATATTGTCCCCGTCAACTGGGTAAATCTTCTTTGAGCTTCCTGTGTCTGGCACGTTTATTTTTTAGATCTCCATATTATGTATTATTGTTAGAAACATTTCCATTTGTGATTAATAATGGAAACTTGGAAAGTAATTCTGAAGATCAACAATCCAGCTCAGGTAATAGTATGCTACTAAGTGCATTTGATGCACATTGAGACATTTCAAGTAGAATAATGTGTTAGAATTCGTGGTTGAAGCTCAAGTGAAGAGAGAATTAGAAGAAAAACGTATAAAACTGAGAATAGAATAGAATTGATGATGAGAAAATTGTCTGCAAAATGATTGTATCAAGCCTTTATATAGGCTAATAAACTACTAAGTGTATGTTTGGGAATACGTTTTACACAGCTAAACGAGATTTCACATTTTTCAAAGCCAAAAACATAGAAGTAAAGGGAGAGTTATTTTAAATTAAACGTACGTTTGTTAAATTTTAACTGTAATCCAAACACAATGTAACTCTATCAACAAATTCCTAATCAATTACACCTCTAATAGTTTCCCGCATGTGTATGTGAAATAAAAATGAATACAATGAAAAATGTTGAAAATACATTTGTTAATAGATATATAGCATCAAAATTAATCAAAAGCCAATATGTAAAAGGCTTGATCATTAAACAAAAGTCACGGCTCAAGGCTTACCCGCTTAACAAATGTAGATACACTTAAAAAGGAATACTTAATCACCATAAGCAAAAGTAACAAACATTGCTTAATCGTCAAGAGCAGAAGCCAAAGCATGATACTTAATCACTCAAGTTAGAAGCAAAACAACATTCAATGCTTAACTATTCATGGTAGAAACTAACAATAATGCTTAACAACCATGGACAAAAGCAATGAATCAATAAACCAAAGTAACTCATATTTGCTTTTAAGGATGAATTATCTTAAAAACCTTGTGAGCATGGTAGAAACCATAGAGCAACTCCAACAGTAATTTTTTTTTTTCTTCTAATGCCCAAAGTAATAATAGGGTCTCAAAAGACAAATTTTTAACGTTGGAGACAAAGTGTGTGGGTCTCATTTCCAGAATTGAGTTGTTTGGCAGAATTGAGTAATAATAAATTTTTTTGTATTCCATTTGAGAAACTTTAGTAAGTTTCTTAGTTGAAGTAAAAAAAGTTAATTGGGTTGTTCAAAGTAAGAAATGTGATATGACATTATAAAGAAGTGTGAAATATTATTAAAAAAAATATAAGAGAAACTTTGATAGGTTTGTTGGATGGAGATAACAAACTTAAAATTTTGTGACAAATTTGAATACAAAACCTTGGGGAATTATTGATGCAAGCATAGAAACAAATACATGGCAATGCGCACCAATTTCAAAATGAACTCCTTAGTTAAAACATCAACGATGGAAACTGAAACTATTGCTACATTAACAAAGTTAAGAACGTGCTGACAAAAGTCATTCCAATAGCAAACGGTGATATAAAAAAAAGTGTAATTAATCATGTTGAGACACATTATTACTAGTTGAACTAGAAATGTCCAGATCCCAATGTTTCAACACATTCTAAAATAACCAAACCTTTCATACGAAGATGCCTCATAGAAACAAGATACCTGCATTGGTAATTTGCAACACTCATCACATTTTATGTTTTGATGGTTGTTTTCCACGATACTTAAAATTTTACGTAACTTGTAATATCTCTTTACTAGTTAAAACTCTTCATAGATAACTTTTTTTTAGATGTTCGACTACTTTTAAAATTAATTATTCTTACAAATCAATACAAGCTAAATCTAAAATGTCAAATAATGAATGACTAATGGCAATCAACCCCTAAATTACCAAATTATTATGCTATAATGACATTATAACTAATTTTTTACAATAATGGGTGAAATTATCTTCAAAGAGAAGTAAAACCAAATGCTTTAAACCAATCAAATTAATAGGTGTGACAATATTCTTTACCACAAACCAACATAATATCTAGAACCAATTTAAAATGTTATTTTACTATAAAAAATATTACTATTTGATTTGTACTACTTTTATATATATATATATATATATATATATATATATATACACTATAAATAACTCATATATTCACACAA